TCTCTCTCTCTCTCTCTCTCTCTCACACACACACACACACACACACACACACAAACCCACTGCCATCAAAGCAATTCTGACTCTTAGCAAGCCTTAGGACAGAGGAACTGCCCCTGTGGGTTTCCAAGACTGTAAGTCTTTTGTGGGTAGAAAGCCTGTGGAGCAGCTGATGGTTTCACCTTGAGCCCCCCTGTAATCCACTACATATGGCCCCTGTGGATGCCTACCGCCATTTGCATTTCATGGATTGTGTGTCAGAGTGCCTTCTCACTGTAAGGCCAGGGTGGACAAGAACCCATGGCGTGTCAAGGTCCACCTACAGTCACAAACAGGGACGGGCTTAGAAACCAGGGCATCTCATTGCCAGAGCACGTGGATTCCTTGCTTACATTGTTCTGCCGATGGGATCCTTCTCCGTGATAAGCAAACTGTGGCGATCTATTTATGGTTCCTCTGTTTCTAAGAACATAATATAAATGTGTTGTTTTCATGTTTTTTAAAACACTCATTTCACAATACGATTTGGTTTCTTGGCAGATGACTCCGGGATAATTTATTGCCTCTCTAGGCGAGAATGTGACACAATGGCTGACACGTTACAGAGAGATGGGCTCGCTGCTCTAGCTTACCATGCTGGTCTCAGTGACGGTGCTAGAGATGAAGTACAGCACAAGTGGATTAATCAGGATGGCTGCCAGGTAACATTTTTAATCTCCATAAGAAACTTTCTTTGGGTCATTATAAAAACATTTTTTTAAATAGTATAAAATAATATTTTTAAAAATATAAAGCAAGACATACGAAATCTCAAAAATGTGTGCGTGTACAATTCTTCACATGGTGCAACCATTCTTGCTACCTTTTGTAAATTATTGCACCGCCATTAACATAAGGTCAATGCCTCCTCAACAGGGAGTCACCAATAAACTTGGTCTCCGTACATTTGCCTTTTCTTAAATGAAGTCATAGAATATTTGACCTGAAGTGATTAACTGATTTTGCTCGGTATAATGTCTTCAAGCTCCATCAGAGTGTAGCATGTATTAAGACTTCATTTCTTACACTATACTGAGCAGTATTCCATTGTATGCGTATACCACACTTTGTTCATTTTGGTTATCCGTTCATAGATGAACATTTGGGTTTGGTTGTTCTACCTTTCTACCTTTTGTAAGCATTTGGGGTTTTTTTTACACCTTTTGGCCATTGTGAAAAATGCTGCAATGAACATTGGTCCACACGTCTCTTTTTGGATCTCAGCTTTCAAGTTTTCTGGATCTATACTTAGTAGTGGAATTGCTGGGTCATATATATATATGGTATATTTATTTATTCATTTAACCACCAGTTGTCCATAGTGACTGTGCCGTTTTGTATTTCCACAGCAATACATAAAGAACAGGAAACATTCCTTCATGGTATATAGGGAAGCTTCCGAAAGGTTAGGGAAAAGTCCCATTATCTTTTCATTCTTTTTCCACCAACTTTTTGAAACCAGGTATAAGCAAGTATGCAGATGCAGAATGCAAATTATTTTTTCCTTAAAGGTAGTAAACTTCAGATAGAACTAAAAGTAAAACACATTTTTTAATGACTTCCAGTTACTTTTTTTCCCTAGTAATATGAAAATTTTATTTATTGGATACAATTCACATACTATAAAACTTTCCCTTTTACTTTTTAAGCATATTCCCAAAGTAAAACATCATCACTCTATAATTCCAGAACATTGTTGTCTCCTCCAAAAAGTGAATGGCCATAAAGAAACCTTTCTAAGAGAATGGGTGAGCTTCTCAGGTCAGTATCCACTCACCCTTCCTCACAGTCCTTGGGGACCACTGACCCCACTAACGCCTGGGAAGCTATTCATCTGTCTGGACATTGAGGTGGTTTTTGTGACTGACTTTTCTACCAGCATAAGTTTTTGCAGAAACATCCATATTGTGACACGTGACAACACTTTATTCTTTCTGTGGCTGAATAATATCCCATTGTATGGATACACCAAATTTTGTTAGTCCAATCATCAGTTGATGGGCGCCTGGTTTGTTTATACTTTTTGGCTGTTAAGAATAATGCTACTGTATGGTCATAAGGCTTCATTTCTCTTGGACATACACCTAGGAGTAGAACTGTTAGGATATCATAATCCTGTGTTTAACTTTTTGAACAATGATGAAACTTTTTTCCAGTATGACTGCACCATTTTACATTTCCCACTAGCAAGGGGTGATGCATCCTGTTTCTTCACTAAGGCTTATTACTTACTGTGTGTCTTTCTTAATGGTAGCCATCCCAGTGGGTATGATGTACTATCTCATTTGATTTGCATTTCCTTAATCACTAATGAAGGGCCCTGGTGGTGTGAGTTGGCATTAACTAAATGGCAGTGAGTTTGGTTTGGGTTTTTGGTGATGCAGTGGTTTAGCCTCACCTGCTAATCAAGTCACCAGTGGTGCCTTGGAAGAAAAAAACTGGCCATCTGCTCCCATAAAGATTGCTGTGCAGGAAACCATATGGCATATAGTTCTAGTCTGTTGTGTAGGTATCTGTGAGTTGGGATTAACTCAACAGCATAGAGCAGTGATTGTGGTCACTTATAGTAGTCACTGATAATGGTGAACATCCTTGCTTGTGTTCACTGGACATTGTATACCTTCTTTGGAGAAATGTCTATTCAAATCCTTTACTCCTTTTTATAATTAGATCATTCGTTTCTTTTTTGTTGAGATATAAGTGTTCTTATATATTCTGGATACTATACCTTTATCAAATAATAGTTTACAAATAGTTTCTTCCATTCTGTAGATGTCTTTTCACTTTCTTGTTAATGCCCTTGAAAGTTTGATGAAGTTCAAGATATAGTTCGGGTTTTTTGTTTGGTTTTTTTAGTTTTTTTCCATTAGGTATCCTATCAAAGAAATCATTGCCTAATCCAATGTCTATATTTTCTTCTAGGAGTTTTATAGTTTAACTCTTAAATTTAGGTCCTCGATCTATTCTGAGTTTGTGATTTTTTTTTATATGGTGTGGCAGCAGCTTATTTCTGTTCTTCTGCATACAGTTATCCAGTTGTCCCTGTACTGTTTCTTGAAAAGACCATTCTTTACCCCATTAAATTGTCTTGCTGAAGATTAGTTGATTGTAAATATGAGGGTTTATTTGGGACTCTCCGTTCTGTCCTGTTGATTTATATCTGTCCTGTGCCAGATGGAGTGGTTGCAAGTTGGTCTGAAATCCACGTGGTCAGCAGTTCGAAACTACCAGCAGCTCCTTGGGGAAAAGACTGGGCTTTCTATTCTTGTGAACAGTTGCAGTCTCAGAAACCCACAGGGAGTTGTCGATGAGTCAGCATTGACTTGATGGCAGTGAGTTTGGTTTGGTTTGTTGTTGTTGTTTTATGCCAGAACCAGACTGTCTTGATTACTATAGCTTTTTGGGAAATTTTAAAATCAAAAAGTCTGAATCTTCTAACTTTATTCTTCTTTCTCAAGAATGTTTTGGCTAAGAATAAATACAAATAGTCAAAATCACATGATGAGTTGCTATGACATCAGTCATTGCTGTGTCTGTTAGGTGCCATCAAGTCAGCGTTGCATCCTAGCAACCCCGGCTGACCGTAGAGCAGCCCCACAGCATTTCCTGGGCTATAATCTTTGCAAAAGCTGATCACTGGGGCTTCCTTCTTCAGAGCAGCTGAGTAGGTTCAAACAACCAACCTTTCAGACAGCAGCCATGCTATAAATCAAAACTACAAGGAGATACCATATCACTTTATCCCCACAAAGATGGCTACAATTTAAAACAGAAACCCACAGTATTGGCAAGGATGTAGAGAAATGGGAACCCTCATTGTAAAATGGTGTGGCTGCTCTGGAAAACAGCTTAAAAGTTCCTCAAACGGTTAAATATAGAATTACCACATGATCCAGTACTGCCACTTCTAGGCAAATACCTGCTAGGACTAAAAGCAGGTGCACAGACTGATACATGTATATTGATGTTCATTGCAATGACCTAACAACGTAAATGGCCATCAAGAGAGGAACAGAAAACAAAACGTGATACATGTGTACCATGCAGTATTGCTCAGCCATAAAGAGCAATGAAGCCCCTGCACAGGCGCAATGTGGATGAGTCTTGAAAACTCAACACATGCTGAGTGGATACGTCAGGCACAAAAGGACCAATATTGAATGATCCCACTTACGTGAAATATCTAGAAGAGGCAACTGTATAAAGACCAAAGTTGATGCCACCAGGGGTGGTAGGGAGGGGGAAAGGAATCATTGTTTAAGGGGCACTGAACTTCTATTAGGGGTGATGGAAAAATTTGGAAACAGATAATACTGATGACTGCACAACATGATGAATGCAACTAATAGGCATGTAAACAATATTGAAATGGTAAGTGTTTGCTTTATATATATATACTTATTGCAATGTTTTTTAAAGGATTCTTGGACCCATTCTGGGTTTTTTTCATTTCCAAATGAATTTTAGGATCAGCTTTACAATTTCTCCGCGCGCACGCGCACACGTGCATACATACCCGTGCTCACACACACACAAGGCCACTCGGGATTTTGTAAGGATTACATCTAATCCATAGACTAATTGTGAGTGTTATCTTAATAATATAAAGTCTTCCAGTCTTTGAGTACACAATGTCTTTCCATTTATTTTGATCTTCTTTAACTTCTAACTTTTTTAAACTTTTCATTGTAATTTGATTGTTATTTACTTTCTTGTAACTGTTTGTAGATTTCAGTATATGGGTCTTACACTTCTTTTATTAAATTTATTTCCAAGTATCTTATTCTTTTTTAAGCTATTACAAATGAAATTGTTTTCTTAATTTTATTTTTGTTTTGTTCATTGTTACTGTGTAGTAATTACAGCTGATTTTTTTAATATATTGATCTTTTTTACTGCAGCCTTGCCGAACTCATTTTTTTAAAGCAGATTTTGAATATGAAGTAGGAATTATTTCTCTAACTTGGAAAAAAATAACAGTAGTAACTTAGCTAATAAAGTTAATACCATGAGGCCAACAGTGGGCACATTAAAAGTCAATAGGGACTCATTCTTCCTACCTTTCTTCTGGTTAATTCAGTTCAGAAAACTAAGTGGTGCCATGAAAGTGGGTTTTCAAAGGTGAAAACCACAAGGAAGATGTGTGTGTGGCCTGTCACTAGGTATTAGCACCCAAGTGGGATGCATAAGGTAGTGACAGCAGTTTGGCCTTGAGAATAGGATCCCAAGCCAGCCGAGGGCAGCACCCCTGCAGGGAAATGGGAACAACCTACCCTGGGTTATCAGAGCCTGCATAGGTTGAGAAGGGTGCTGTGATTATCAGTGAGAGCACAGCCCAGTAGTGGTTATCAGTTGGAGCATGTGTTCAAAGGCATGTAAGTTCGTGGGGGTAAGATGGGTGGGGAGTGATGGGAGATTAGTTACACACGAGGGCTGAACAAATAAGGCAAATATATCAAGGGCAATGGGAGCCCAGTTTCTGACTATCAGGGAAGGTAAACAAAAGGAGAGACACAAATGAGCCTTGTGATGTTGGATTGGGATTTGAATTATCAGTATGAACCCATAGTCTGCAAGATACATAGATGATAAGGAAATAAATACAGATGTAAATGTGTGTTGATGTCTATAAATGTGCTCTTCCATCTCCTGCGAATGTCTG